CAGCCACACATGTAGAATCCCCTCACCGCTGGCACAGTGCTTTAAGCAGGAGGGATTTTGCTGACACTGTTTTGCTCTGGGCAAAGTACAGGATCTGCTCAGGCACTCATCCTTCTCCCAAGATCTCCCCAGCTGAAGAAGGAATCACAAAATTCATCAGCAGAGCATCACCGAGCAGCCAACCCTCACACAACACAGAAGACACAGCAACATGCAAGTGTGCTGGCAGCACGCACAGAGGTTTTGGAAAGTTGGCTTCAGCTTTCATGTAGCAATTCATGGCTCAGTTCAGGTGCCACTCATGTGAATTAGCACTCGTATTTTAATTTCAACGTGCCATTTTCCCTTCTCCACTTGATTTCTCCAGTCAGTTTCTATTTGGCATGGGCACAAAGCGATGGTGAACTCATACTGTATCCAATGCTCTCTTTCCCATTCAGATGTAGTCTTCAGTCCCATGGGAGACACATCAGCTCTGCAGAGCTGCATATCAGGGTGTCTTGGGTGCTGTGCTGCACCAACAATAGGAGCTAAGTACCTAATTGCTTGATTTAGAGAGGCAGTTTGGACATACCGCTGATTTTTCCAAATGTTTTTTGGGCCAAATCTGAAGAAAGCCCATTAACTTCATTGGGTTTGGATGATATCCCATATACACACAAAACTTGAAGAATGATGCTTTAAAAGAAATACCAGAGTTAAATTGGGACATTTTAACAATTCTCTTTGTATTTGAATTTAGTGGCTGTATGCTGACAATGTAATTAGCAAGATGCTATGTTAATTAATGCCAGATGACATTGGTGGGATGGCAAAACATCCAGTTTTCTGAAGAATAGCTCACAGTTGAACTGTTCCTCTCTCCCCACCCCATTTTTAGCAGAGGAACATACTCAAAAAGTCAGAGACATCTGAATTAAACCAAAAGTCAAACCATTTACGAATATTCAAAATGTGGCATAGCTCAGTGCCTCACTTTCAAGCCAAATCTAATATTATTGCAGAAAAATACATCAACCGTCTCTCCTTAGATCCTACATACAGAAAAGGAGAATTTGAAAAGCATTGCACAGTGGACAAATTAGCTGTCACTGAAGCTGAAGGAGCAGAATTTAGACTTGTCCTTCACATAGCGGAGTATTTCAAAGGTAATTTTCAGTTTAAGGATTGTGGATTTCTTGGGATCAATCAGATAATTTGTGAAGAATTTGCAATAAATGGAAAAATAATTCACATACAGTCTGAATTCATACATGTTAAACTTCAGTCTATACATGTAAAATTACTGAGCAAATTTGATAGGGCACAGAAATTAATACCATGTGAGAACTATAGTGTGTATAATTTTAATTCATATATTTTAAATTGCATGCATAGAGATATTTACCTATGGATATGAAAACTTCTGTATTTAAGTTCATGGTCCTTTACTGTACACCTATTGTAGATCCTGTCTTGAGTAGAATTAGAGACTATGATTGTATTCTACTGTGTCAGATGAGAAAAATTTGTAAGGGCATTTGTGCTGCTCTAGATAGGACTTCAAATCTAGTGGTTTTACTAGCAGTAGGGCGGTAAAACGAAGTTGGCAGGATTTCCTTAAAAGTCTTTATTTTCCTGGGAGGGTAAGCCAAAATGATAAAAACTAAAGGCTGGTACACCCCACACAGCAGAGATGTCTCCAGTGCCACTCAGGGGTGACACATGGACACGTATCAGAGCCAAATAATGTGCCTGCATGAAACCAAATGCACAGCCAATACAAACTCACACAGCCAGGTCAGGAACATTGTCATCCACACACCCTACCTGCCACTTCAGGCAGCGTCTGTCCTTGAACAAGGCACCATAATGATAGCCTAAAAGCACAAAACCACCAGAAACCCTAGCACTGTGGCCTCTGACAAAATTACATGCTCATGCCTGGCCAGGACAGAAGGTCTGATGGTGTTGATCTGACAAGATGTGCCACACTGCTGGTTGCAATGGCCACGAACTCTTGGCCTAACTATATGTGACAAATTCTCTTTACTGGTATTTTTTTTAATTCACAGCAGGCAAACTTTTAAGTTGCACAAACCCACCCATCTTCCTGTAGTCATTCTCCATTGGCTTTGCATCTGCTTTGCATAGGGTTAGACACCAGGAAAAACCACAGGAAAATTAACTCTTGTCTCAGCTTGTCCAATCTCTGTCAGAGAAAGCTTATTATTTATCCTGAGTCTGGAGCTGTATTTTTACATTTCCTCTCCCCACCCCACAAGCGCTGACAGTCAGGTGGTGAAAGCTCATGCATTCTCATTGTTAAAATGATATTAGCTTTCTTGTATAATGTTTGGGATTGGGTATATCTGAATAAGGTAAATGTGTGGTTGAAGGGGTTATAGCTGCATTTGGGCCTGGTACATGATTTCACAAGGGAACTGGGATTGGTGGTTTGCCCTGCGTGTCCTCAAAGATCCATATCCTGGGAGGATCCAGAGGACTGAAATATTTCAATGCAAATATGAGGAAGCCTTTGAATTCATAAATATGCTTTAACTTTACAAAAGCATTTAGCTTCAGCACATGGAAGTGTCTGGTATTTTAGACATCTTCGCCTGTGCAAAGATAATAACTGTCTGTGCTCTGAAATTGCTCTGAAGAAACAATCACTAGAATGTGGTATCTCATTGAACAACACTTCTGTAAAATCTAGGAAACTTTGCATCACTTGCGCCGACTTTTCAACAACATGTAATTTAATATTTTTGACCAGTTCATTTATTTCAGCTTGTTGTTAAACCACTTTACCCATAAGCCTGAGAAGGCATTTCTAAAATCATTGTTAATGAGAGCAAACTACAAGTTTGTAGTGGACGTTTATGAACAAATCTGTACACAGCAAAGAAATAAAACCTTGCATCCTGCTTCTTCCAGAACCCCAGCAATTCCTTTCGTCTTCCAACTATTCGCACAGTGATTGTTTGCACATTTCACTGAGATCATATGGAGACACGGGGATTCAAGCTGTCATCAGGACCTGAATCTTTCACAGAGGAGGTTCTCTTCTCTTCTGATCCTAGCAGTGACTGTGTGGGCTTAAAGATGAACAGCCTCTCCCCATATAAAGTTCCACAGATGAGAGCATGCATCAAAGCTGTTTGTGGAACGTCAGCATTATGTACAGGACTGGGAAAGTTCTCCTGTGACACAGGCATTTTCCCACTGTGTTAGGAAGAACCACAACACTCACACAGTTTTCCTAGGGGGAGCAAAATACCAAAGTTGAGATCCTGTTATCCTAAGAGAGCTGATCAGGGCACTTAACTTCAGTTACCGAACATCTGCATTCAAATCCTTTCTTTGCTTCTTTCACACCACAGATGGGAATATGGGCTTCCCACATCCCAAGCTTGTGGTTTTACCACCAGGCTACTTGTTCTTTGAAAGCAGGTTTTTCTTTAGGTTTTTACATCTGCTCATGCGAGACAGTCTACTTAATAAGCAATCTGAATCACTCCGTTTTAGCACTCATTTGTGAGATGATTCTGTATGTTCCACTGTCATATGCATTTTCATGAGTATTAGAAACAGTCTAGTAAGAACACTGAACACAAAAATGACGTCTAAGGAGTGAGGAGAAACAGGGATCATAAGATGCTTACCAATTTCATTTCCTCTACAGGAATATGTTCATAATAACATATTCATAATAACATCTACCCTCCCATTGCATATATGCATCCTTACACAGGCTTCCATAGGAGTGCATAGGACTTCTGTCACTGGGTTCAATGACAGAGAAAACTGATTTCTGGAACACAAGGAGAGCAGCTTGTCCGACCTTTCCTAGGCTCTGCCTGAAAAGACAGCATTTTTCACACAACAGCTCCAAGATGCGTTTGCTATCTCAACAAATCTTAACACCTTAGCATCAGGGAACAGTGTTAAAAAGCGGCAACGGGGCTCCAGCTTATTTCAGCAAATTAATCACAGGAATACACTTTCTAAATTAGATGGCACAGTCCCAAAGGGTTAATGGCTTTGCTGCTCAGATAGGTACAGCCCAGAATCACGCTGAGAACCAAAGAAGCTGGAAGTTGGGTCACACACAGTTGTGGAGAACAAAGCTCCGGCCTCTCAAATTAAATCTCTTGATCACCAGATGTGTAGGCATGCTGTGTTTGTTTTTGACCTTCCATTTTCAAGAGGGAAAGCAAAACGGCTCCAATTAATCCCTGGTGTAAGCCAGTCAGCATGGCTGCAGTCAGCCCCGGAGCAGGCTGTTATTAGGAGCAAGCTTCGCCATCTGAAAAAATCCCACGGCTTTGGGTGCAGTGCATGCGTTCAGAGGGTCCCGTGTCACATCTCCTCAGTTACCAGGAATTACGCTTTTGGGCTTTAGTAAGAAAACAGGCTTAATTATGCAATTGTCAGCTCGTTTAACAACAAAACAAAGCAAAACGTTTATGTTCGTTAACTTTTGGACTGAACATCTCGGCGGCTAAATGCCGGAGCCTCGCACGTTATTTTGAAATCAGCCAATGGCCATCGGCTGCCTGAGCTTCGCGACGACTCCGCGAGGCCCGTCTGACATTTCTCTGACCGGCTACGGATAAAACCGCTTTATTTTATTCTTGCCGAGTCGGCTTCCCACGCCGCCACGGCCCGACAGCCGGCGCGGCCCGCTCGGGGCAGGGAGCATCGCCCGCAAGGCGAAGGCGGGCGCAGGCCCCGTTCGCCCAGCGCCCCGTTTCTCATAAGAACGCGCGCCCCTGCCGCCGCCCTCCAAGCGGGTGGCCCCACCAGCGGGCTGCGGAGGGAAGCGCCACCCTCCCCCCTCCACACCGCCTCTCTCACCCCGGCCGGCTGAGGCGGTGCGGCGAGGGGAGGGGCCGAGGAGCACGGAGCGCGGAGCGCATCGATCGCTCTCATCCATCGGACGGCTCGCTCGGTGCTCGGCTCCCTCGGCAGCTCCAGCCCCGGCCCTCCCCGTCCCCCGCCATTTCAGACCGGGACGGAAAGGGACGCGGAGCGGGCGCCGCGCGCGGCGGGCAGGGAGACGCCGGCGTGCTCCCGCGGCCCGCAGAGCGCCGGGCAGGTACCAGTACCCGACCCCCTGGTTCGCGCTTTCCCCTCCCCCCCCTCTTTCCCTCTCTCCCCGCCGAGGCGGGGCAGGAGAAGCGACTCCCCGCAGCCGGTCGCCCCCTCGACCCCCCCTCGCCCTCGGTGCCGCTGATCGCGGGGAGCGGCCGGACGGCGGTCACCCAAGCGGCCCGCGCCCGCCCCTCGCTTTCCGTCCCCGCGGCGCGGCGGGACAGGTGGCCAACGCCCTCCGGGAGCCCGGCACCTGGTGCTGAGTCAATCCCGCGCCTCGCGCCGCTCCCGCTTTCCTCCTCTCATCACCCCGCATCCTGCCCGCGAGGTCGGCTCGCAAACTTAGGCGGCCCCGGCGGCTCCGCGCTGGGGGAGCCGGGGCGGGGAGGGCGGCGGCCGGGCCGCGGAGGTGCCGAGCCCGTGCTAGCGCCCTCGCAGCGCTGCGGTGCCGGGGCTGGGCGGGATGAGGGGAGAGAGGTGAGAGCCGCGGCCCCGTCCCGCCGAGCCTCTGCGGCTGGCGGCTGCGCTCCCTGCTCGATGGACGGAGGGGCGGGCTGCCGTGCCGCTGGAACTTGAGAAGAAAGCGGTGGGGAACGAGAGCGTGTCTGAGGAATCTCTTCCCTTCGTAGCTTTTTGTCCTTTTTTCCGGGAGGGAACCGCTTTCCGGTAGTAGTAAAGGAACGCGATAGTGAATGAAGCTACACCGACGGCATCCTCGCTGGTCTGATCCCAACCCTTTCTGCCTAACGTTGCTTTCTTTGCCTCCAGGTCTGCTAAAAAATGACAGAGTATAAGCTTGTTGTCGTTGGAGCTGGTGGTGTGGGCAAGAGCGCCTTGACAATACAGCTCATTCAGAACCACTTTGTGGATGAGTATGACCCTACCATAGAGGTAAACACCTCCGTCTTAGCTTCGTGTGCTGGGAGGTTAGCAGTGCTGCTGGGAGTTGTTTGCTGTTGAACATTACTGCAAAAACGCTATAGAACAAGACTGTATTAAATAAAAAGTAAAGAATAGCATCACACTGGCATTAGCAAACTGCTGTACTTCTTGAGCTGGCTGTATAACAACAGCTACAGTGAAAAATGAGCAGTTCTGTGAAGTGGAAATGTGGCGCGTGTTAGTTGCTGTGTTGTGTTGGACACTTTGAACGTGAGTTTGCAGGATCTTGGTAAGGAAGTACTTGCCAAACTCTAATGGGGAAAGGGTGCCAAAACTCACTGTAGCTCCGCATCGGTCTCTTAATATCAAAATGGAAAGTCACACGTAAGGAGAGATTTCACTTCTGAAATGCATGTGTCAGGCTTTCTCAGCTCTTATCATCAGGATCTGTGTCACATGGTGAGGAATGTGTTCTGGGATGTTATGCTGAATGAGGCAAAAATTTGGAACTCAATTTTTTTTTTTTTTTTTTTTTTAACAAGCAGTTGTATGTTTCTGTGCATCTAGAAAAAGATGTAGGATAGCTGCTATCGTGAATTCTTTTCTGTACATGGCACAGTCCTTCAGAATCTGAAAATCTGTTTGAACTTACACAGTTCTGTTATTTTAGAGGCTTTTAATGAGTAGGCAGGTCTGGCTTTGTAAATAGTGTTGTCTGAAATCTCCTGTGGGTAGTTTGATTTAATAACCTCAGACTGTATGAAAGGAGAAATGACATTATAACTTACCCGGGATTTTTATGTTCCCAGCACTGAAATATTCTGCAGCTTATGACTTCACTTATATGTTTACACAATGAGGTGCTTCCAACCTCACTTGAAGGCATCGCAAGGGTATAAATCTGGGCTTAATGTGGTGACTCAGAAATGGTTCTGGAGTCATTCTCAGGTAGGCACGAGTGAAAGGAGCCAGTGTCCCAAGATGGTAGGAGGCTGTCTTACTTCAGTGAAGTACAGGCCTGAGTTGGTGTTCCACAAAGGGGGATGCACCAGGCTGTGTTTGGGATTACCTTTAATGTGCCTGTGTACTTTGTCTGACGCGTGGCCAGGTAGATTACCCTATGCTTGCTGAAGGTTTTGTGAATGGATAGGAAGAATGTTTACCTTGCACTAGCAAGGTAGCTCTTTCAGTTATTAAGATTTGAAATCTGAAAACAAAATGTCAACCCAGAACAGTCTTAAAAAACAAGAAACACAACTCATTGAGAAGAACAGGCAAAATGGGATTTTACTTTTTGGTTGCAAAAGGAACTTACAGAGTTGTTGGTAACACTTGTACTACTTGCTCATCATCTAGGTTTCTTGGATTAGAGGTACATTTAAATTTTGCAGAAAGCACTGTTGAGGTTCTACGTTAGAAGTTGTCTGAAAAGGACAAACCTGTGTAAACCGTTCAGGAACGCAAGAACTTAAATGTCAGTTCTAAATCACTTGAGGGATTTTTGCTAATCAGCAAGTTGAGTATTTTGAGGAATGCTGAAGGCATTGTAATGATAATAAAACATGCGGTGCTTGTAGGAAGGACATTGAATTCTAGAGCAGCAGCTTTTATTCAGTAATGGACAGGGTAAGTTGTCTGTAAGGCTGTGGTGTGGTCTGCAATCAAACAATATGATTTTCTGGGAGAAACCTACAGCCTAATGGATTTTGCCTGCATCAACAGCTTGTTGAATGTAACAGTATTAGTCTGCTTGTACTCAGTCAAGAACTTGTAGGGAGCTGGTTGCCGTTTTTGCCTTGTAAATCCTGAGACCTTATGGATGGATATTCTATCTACCCGCCTGGTAGATCACTTTGTGTGCTCATGGTGTTATAATTCTGTAACTTGGTTAGGTTTGTAGGGAGTACATACTTCAGTTACTGTGGGGTGCTCTGTTATTTGGAGAAGCAGATGGTTTCCAGCTAGGGGGCTTGTAGTTGGGTTTAAATGCTTCACTTCTGGCTAGGGCACAATCCCTTCAGAAGGGTTTGGTTGTGCTTCCTGTGTATAGGTGTAGTTCTGGTATGGGGCTGCCCAAAGAACAGTAGCTGTAGAAAGGCTCACTTTTTGTGCAATGAGGAAATAAGGCTACGGTTGTGACCAGTAAATAAGTGGTTCAGTAGTGTCACAACTATTGTTTTTCACTGACTACTGTTTCTTTTTCTACTGTTTTTTTTTTTTTGTTTGTTTTGTTGTTGTTGTTTCCAAAACATGCCTTTTCCTCAAAAATAATGAGGTATTTTGGAGTAGGCATAGAAAAGAGCTGAGTGTTTGTTGTATGCTGTGGGTTTGTTGTATACTGTGGGTTCCATACCTACCTGGTTGTTCAGTTGTTTTAAATCTTTCATGGTAACCATTGTGAAATTCATCTCTTCTTAAATTCTTACATTGCTGAAACAGTGCAGGAGAGAAAAAAAAAAAAAAAAACAACTGGTTGCTTAACTACAGATACATTGTCTAACATTCACATTTGTATTCTTTTCAGTGGAATTAGTGAATGAACAAATAACTTACCTGCTTGGGAAGCTTCGTGTCTCATGATCTAGTCAAAAAACATGTATTTATTTTGTATTTTGTATCTGAATTTATTACAGTTGATGACAGGGGAAAAAAATAAAATTACTGTGTGCTTGAGTAACTCCTGTTATTCAGAAATAAATTTGTTGTGTTTATCACAATTTCGTATCTTTCTTGAAATGGATGTCAAAGCACATTTACAGCCAAGCAATTTTAAGTGTTTTTTTTTCTAAGTGTGTACACTCACCCTTTGAGCTCTGGCTTAATGCACAGAGCAGTTGGACTGATGCCCTCTACTGGTCGAGATTCGTTAAATCTTTATTTGCAATATCTTCCGTGATTACTTTAAAATCAATTCTTTTTATAGTGTCAGCACACATGTACTAGCATTTAGGTCATGTTTTCAGTGACTTGGAGAAGGAGTTGTCCTCCTTGCTGGCTGTCAAAGGATTTTTCAATTGGATTAGCAAAATCCCTTGAGTGATTTAGGAATACTGATATTTAAGTCTGTGTGTTTTTCAATGACCTGTGCACCTGTGGAACTTCCACCAACATGTTGTAGTAGCTTCATAATAATTATGATATTTTAATATTTAATCATTGTTAGAGTGGATTCCTAAAAAAAGTAGTTACTCTCCTAGATGGGGTTTCTTTAGTCAGTGGATTTTTTTTTTTTTCCAGATAAACTCAATTTGTGACAGGAAGCTGATATGCCATCTTTAGTTATCGGTAATTGTTGTGAACAAATGGAATTATTATTGTTCCTTTAGCATAATGTGTGTGTTTTATATTTTTTTTATGGCTTGAAAGATCAATAACAGCAGGCTGTGTGATTAATTAAATTGAAACTCTTTGATGTAGATAATGTCTGCATACTCAGAGAAGTGACAAGTTCATATTTGGAGTCATGTACAGTGTTGCATTTAATTTCTAGTTTGCATTTTGTTTTATATACAGTAGTCCTACGTTAGGTGCTTTTCCATTGCCATATCTTCCAGTGTGCAGTGAAGCTGCTGGATTTCAAAAACATCATGAGAAGGGGTTTTTTTGTTGTTAAAAGGGAGTCTGCCCATGTTGGGTTCTGATACTCCATTTTGAAGTAGAGGGCCAGTAAGATGATCAGGGGGCTGGAGCACCTCTCCTGTGAGGAAAGGCTGAGGGAACTGGGCTTGGTTAGCTTGGAGAAGAGAAGGCTCTGGGGAGACCTCATTGTGGCCTTCCAGTACATGAAGAGAGCATATAAACAGGAGGGGGAATGGCTGTTTACGAGGGTGGGCAATGATAGGACAGGGGGGAATGATTTTAAACTGAGACATGGGAGGTTTGGTTAGATATCAGGAGGAAGTTTTTCACAAAGAGAGGGTGGTGACACACTGGAACAGGTTGCCCAAGGAGGCTGTGGATGCCCCATCCCTGCAGGCATTCAAGACCAGGCTGGATGTGGATGTGGCAGCCTGGTCTGGTGGTTGACAACCCTGCACGTAGCAGGGGGGTTGAAACTAGATGACCATTGTGGTCCTTTTCCACCAAGGTCATTCCGCGATTCCATGATGATTCTATGACAGGTATTGTAGCAGTGTAACTAGCTTTGAGTTCCTCAGTTCATCCTGCACTATTTTTTTTTCTTGGACTTGGTAATTTCTTACAGTATGGTAACATTTGAATGTTATCTGCGTTTGGGCTGTGTGGGCAGGTATTCACTGTGGTGCTGCTATGGAGGTCTCAGCAACCTGAGCTGTTGATGTGGTGGTTTGGTTTTCTTACAGTGCCAAATAGGATTTTTTAGGCTTGACTTTTTTGCAGGGGAGAGGGTGGGAAAAAAACAGCAACTGAAAAAGCCATATATTTATTTTTTCAGCAATTTGATAGGAAATCATAAACTTGAGTTTTCTCTCCCACATCCTTAGTCTTTTCCATCTCAGATCCTCTCTTCTAGTTTTCTTTCAGAACAAACTATCTGAAAGCATTCCTTGCTCATCTACCTGTGCTGTGCTTTGTGCTCATGCAGCTTTGCTGCTGCTGGTGTGGCATATTAAAACTAGCATTTCTTGCAGGAAGAATTTTAAAATGGTTTTCTTTGATGAAAATTACTTAAAGCTTTTGTTTAGAGCTCAGCTTTGGAGAGTTGCTTTCCCTCTAGAGTGATGAATTGCACAGAAATTCATATTTTTAAAGTAGCAGTCAAATTGTAAGAAGAAAATGAAATGGGCTTTTTTTATGACTGATGCAATGCCAGAAGTTCTGTTAATACATTGCTGAACTGTGATAAAGTTGATAGGATGTGGGAGATCTCCTGTTGATTGAAGTGAGTTGGGATAAAGATGGGCAGGCTTTTTTCCTTCTCATTTAAGCGCTGAGATGGAATGTTAGCCTTATTTTAAAATACACTGGAGATTGTGTATTTCTCTCAGCTTTTATATTTCAAAGACTGCCAACTGCTTACTTGAACACTGAATTTGCACTTCTGTGACATTAATACTTCCAGAATCACGTTGGAGCTGTACTTGTATGTTAAGGGTAAGAAGTCAATATCGTTTTATCTGGTATTGTTGAATTGTATCAAGGCTCGAGATAAATAAGAGCCCAGCATTTGTTTACTTGAACATACTGATTCTATACAGCTGTCTTTTGATTGTTTTTAGGATTAGCAACAAGAAAGAGCAAACTTCTGTGTTAAAAAAAACAAACCAAACCACCGAATTGATAAAGTGCACAGCGTATAGTGCTTAAAATTGATGCAAAGGAAGGAAGGCCGTGCAGAATTCATCTTGAAGTCGGCTAGAATTGCAACTTCAGTTCCCCTCACAGTAGCTTCAGTTCGTGGTTGTTTTTTTTTTTTTTTTTTTTTTTTGTAGAGTATTAAAAAGATCCTGCTTATATAACAAGAGCACAAGCAATATTATGTTAATCTCTAGCTAAAGGATCTGAAAGGTTATGCCATGATTTCCTCTTGACGCCTTTTATTTGCTGTGAGTATTATTAACTGAGAATAATTTGTGGTGCTCAGTGACATTTTTAGTTTACTGACATGGTCTTATTATAATAGATAGTGCTTGTAGGAAATAGAGGTTTGGATGAAAAAATAGGACTCGTGCTCTCGTTATTGCTAAAACTATGTGCTTACAGAAGTCTAGCACCAAAAGACCTGTAAATAAGCATTACTTTTAGCTGCTTGGGACTCTGTACAGATTTCGGCTACTTGAGTCAGTGACCTGAAAACTTTGAGTTGATAGTGTTGAAATAATTTGTTCCAGCATCTCTCGGAACCTATCAGGGCTTGTGTCTGATTTTGTGCTTTGTGTTGCTCTGTCTTGTCTGAAAAACTTGAACTTCAAATGTATTTACTAAATTTTGGTAATTTGATAACAAATGTTATATGCAGCTGCTTAGGGATATAAAACAGCTTTTTCCACCTCAAACTCTGAAGGTTTCTTATGCTTTACTTCCTTTTCAGGGGCATAGATTTTTGGAGTAGTTGTTCTGCTTGTGAACTTTTTCTATTTTATTATTTTGTGCATGTTGTGGGCATGATGTTTTTATTGACATCCATAGAATGAAGGCCACATTTCACTTATTTTTTTTTTTTTTTTCCAATTGAGTTAGCTTATAGTTAAATCTTTTAAAATCAGGATTACAGCTTTCTTCAATTCTCACATGAACAAAGGGAGAGGTTTTTGATCTGGATTCAATTTGAACTTTTTGTCTCTTTGTACAAAATGAGAAATAAGAATGCTGTGTGTATGTGCATACGTGCATATGCATGCAGTGTTACTTGCTGAAGACACAGAATGCAGATCAGAACATGTCCTTCCAGTAGCATTTTCATTTCTGGATTAATGTCTGAGCAGAAAGATCGGCTACCAGTTATGCTTTCATTTGCCTATCTGTAAAATTGGATTATAAGTGTTTTCAGGTATGATCAACTACTGGAAAACAACTTGAACATCTTTTGAACTATCTGTGCTTAAAAACTTTGTTTGTATTTAACCATGTGTTTTTTTTTTTTCTCTCTTCTTTAGGATTCCTACAGAAAGCAAGTAGTAATTGATGGGGAAACCTGTCTCTTGGATATTCTTGATACAGCAGGTCAAGAAGAATATAGTGCAATGAGGGACCAATATATGAGAACAGGAGAAGGCTTCCTGTGTGTATTTGCTATAAACAATACAAAATCTTTTGAAGATATTCACCATTATAGGTGTGTATGCTGAAAGATGAATGACTAACTCTTGTATTAGCTGTGTGGGTTGCTTGCTTTTTACACTGGATAATGAACTGACCTCTCATGAAATAGCACTTAAAGGAAAATTTGCAAATTAGCAGTGTTGCAATTTACTTGTCCATTTGTAAGTCTGTAATTTTCGGTAATTGAAAATCTGTTGTTTCATTCTGGAGTTAAGCAGGCAATGTATCTGAAAGCTCTCTGTTATGAATGGCTGTTACTGCCTTAATAGATATTATTTTTGTAGTAAGAAATTATCTGAAAGTAAACTCTGCCTATTCCATAAATAAAATTGTGGGTTAAAGATGAAAAACACAGTTTAAAATTTACAGATAATATATTGTTAGCCTTTCTTCTCTGGGGGAAGAGGAGGAAAATACCCATGCAAGAGTATCTAAGTGGGTACCTAAATGGTAACCTGGGCTCTGACACCTTAAAGAAAAAAAAAAAATAAAAAGGATCCCCATATGAAATTTCACATCCAGGATGATGGCTGATTGAGTTAGTTAAAAATTGAAACTCGTGCTTACTTGATGGCAGCTACACTAAAATGGAAGAGAAGCAGTCTCTACTTCTGTTATCAGTACCAGCAAGTTATAACTTTTTAGCTTCATATTGCATTGAATTCTGCTTGGGAGTTGTGTCAGAAGGCAAATCCCACCAAAGATCACTGATTTTAGCAGCATCAGTTTAAGGTTGTTCCCAAATGCATAAGTTAAGCTATTCCAAGTTAAATATTTAAATGCTGTTGAGTTTGTGTTGCTGTGTAGCATAGGAATGACTTGCTGTAAGTAATAACCACAAACTCAACATCTACTTTTAAACTGAAGTTGCCCATTTTGTAACAAATTAAAATCACTGATTCGTCACTTAAGGTGGGATACCTTATGATAGATAGTTCAAGGTAATCAGAGTGAGGAGCTGTAGCTGTCTGGATTGTGTAGCTTTATTTCTCCTGTATGCTAGCAGTTCAGCTCATTTGGTAGTGTAGTGTTGATTTCAGTTGCTAAACTGGTACATTTCTAGCTACAAAATTAGTTTACTGCTGGCTTACCTTCCTGTAGCAACTGTGGGATCAGGGGAGTTCTGTACGCCCTTTGTTTCAGGACTGTTACTTTTCCAAACTGAAATTGAGCTAGCCAGTCTTCATATACCTTTCACTATATCTAAAATGTAGTAAGTGAAGAATGTGATGTACCAGCAGCTTCCTAATAAAAATGGAATAGATTAGAGTTCTCAACTAGAGATAAAAAATATCTCGCTCTCAGAAAAACACCCTACATCTCCATTGTCTAACCAGATTATTAGAAAGGAGTTTCGTCTGTCTGTAGAGGAGGAAGGAAATGGTAAGGTGTTGACATAAGGCAAAAAGGAGTGTGAAGTTTGCTTTTAAGCTTCATAAAGAAATAGTTGTAGACTTGCACGGGGAGGCCTTCTGGGTTTTAACTCAGCGCTGTGAGCTGAATGCAGGAGCTCCTCCTGTGCATTCCCACACCTGTGGATGACTTTGCTGACTGAAGCTGAATGTTTCTAAATAAATAACTGAAAACTGAAAAATAAATAATAAAATGAAATGAATAATATGAATAAAATGAAATGAATAAAATGAATAATAATAAAATGAAATAAAAAACTGAAAGCAACGACTGCATTAAGAAGAAGACTTATAGACTGTTTAAGAAAGCAAGGAAAGAAAAGAAGAAATAAATGATTGTTATTTGAGATTCTTTACAAGTACATCTAAATGGTATGGTAAAAACATTTTCTAGCTAGTCTTTTAAAAGACTCTACCAGATTTCTCTTTTCAGAGAATCAGACCAGTGGTCTTCGGAGTTTAAAATCCCTTTATCTAAGTGCATAGTTTATGATGCTGACTTAGCCTGAAAAACACAGTACAGGCAGAGGGCTTTTGACTGTTTTATCTCAGCAAATGAACTGGGTATTGTGAGTGCAAAGTATGGGAAATGGGTAGTAAGATTTATACCAGAGCTGACATTAACTGTTGTTTTTGGGGAAGATTCTTGTGTAGTGACATGAGAAGCTATGGCAGTTCAGCTTACTGAGCACTGCTGATAGAAACACTTGCTGCAACATGCCAGCCTTTTAAGAATAAAGTAATAAGCTTGATAGTGATAGGACTTGATCAATTTATTTATTTTTTAGTAGCTTCTAATAGTGAATGTGCAGTGAATTAATATAAGGAATGATGTTGAAATGCCATAATTTCATTTGTTGTATGTTTTATAATCTACTGTATGAACTATTAATATCTGTTAAATAAACTCTTTTTTTTCTTTAGGGAACAAATAAAAAGAGTTAAAGACTCTGAAGATGTCCCAATGGTGCTAGTAGGAAACAAATGTGATTTGCCTTCCAGAACAGTAGATACAAAACAAGCTCAGGACTTAGCAAGAAGTTATGGAATTCCTTTTATTGAAACATCAGCAAAGACAAGACAGGTAAAGCTCACAACTTGCAAATCAAAATGTAGCACTCAGCTCAGTTTTCATCAAGTTAATCATTCTGAGCATTACCAATCATTACAGCAATGAATTTGTTTCTTCAGAGTAGAAATTCTTGTGGTGTCTTTTCTTTCTGTCAGCTCTCTGACTGCTGATAATTGTTTATTAATTTGTGATTTGCTTCTGTTGCGCAAACTGAAAGAATGAGACCTGGGCTGCTGGTACTCTCCACTGTCAGTTGCAGAATTCTTATTATGCTAGGCTTTATATGTAAAAAGTACACCTGTTTAGAGGTGAAATGTTTGTTTTCTCTCCTCTGCAAGAGGATTAAGCAGACAATACATTAGTTTATTCTAAGCTCAATAACAAAAGAAAGAATCTTTTAAGGTGTTAATTTAACATGAGTGGAACGTGCTTCAAATACCTTTTTATAAGTAAGCAATTGACTGTAAGTCTTTTTTTTGAAGCTACAGGTGGTTTGGATATTAGATACTAGGAGGGAATTCTTTACTACTCTTTACTCAGAGGGTAGTGAGATGCTGGAGCTCAGGCTGCCCAGGGGAGCTGTGGATGCCCCATCCCTGGAGGTGTTCAGGATCAGGTTGGATGCGGCTCTGGGCAGCCTGAGCTGTTGGGTGCAGTCCTGCCCATGGCAGGGAGTGGAATTAGGTAGGCTTTAAGGCCTGTAAGTCATTCTATGATTTTTGCAGGGTGAATTGTTTGTGGCAAGCAATAACTTTCCAAATCTTTAGAGCACACGTTTGTTTGTTGTACTCAGCTGCTGTAGATGGAAGAGACAGTATTAGAGCTCTTTCAGTATTTCTGTAACTCTGGGAGAAAGGTGAAGGAGGTGGTATATCTGCACTCAAAAGAAGATAAGTATACAATATAAATGAAACTGGTTATGTACTGAAGAAACCATTCCTTTAAAAACAAAACAAAACAAAACAAAACAAAAAAAAAAAAACAAAAAACAAAAAAACCAGTTGGTTTGCATTGGGGTTTGATATTTTTCACAGGAGAACAGGGACTTACACTCAGTACGGAATTACAGCAGATTTGAGTGATCAAATAACTTTTCTTCTCTGCCTCTTCAGAAGTACTGCATGTAAATCGGTACATACATGTAGCAAAAAAATGCAAATAAGGGCAGAGTGCTGCAGTTTGAGTAATGTCATGCATCTGCTGAATAGATGGAGCTGCGTCACTTGACAGAACTTCTTTGTAAACAGTACATAAATTATTTCTATATTAAAAGGAATGACAATTTTATTAGTGCAAATATGCTGTACCCACCCAAGTTTCTGACAAGTTGAGGCCTGGACCAATTACTGAAACTTTGCTGAGGATTCAATGGAATTCTAACTTCAGGCAATAAGGAAGAGCCAGTAAACCCTTGTCAGGTAGGGTAAGTAAAATAGAGCTACAGAACTTCAATGGCTGATGATCAATGAGGCACAAGAAAGAGTGTGGCATATAAATGGTCTGGATAATTATGGTGGTTAGAAGCTCCTGTGTTAGTGGCTGTCACTGAAATGTTAAGATAAAAAGGAAGAACTCTGAAATTGCATTTGAGGTTTGAAATACGAAGTCTGTATTAACATCTAGATGTAACTTTGTTCAGCCTGCTATATAGTGTCACATCTTGTTTAAGGAATACTCTTCTCAAATCCTCTAATGAAAGTGGATTGAAAATGATGTAATGTTCAAAGAAGTCCCAGTCTTCACATTATCCTACAAGCCTACCTAGTGAAAAATTTCACACTCACAGATTGCCATTCCTGTTCAGTTTTCTGGTCTTCAGTTATGCAAAGTAGTATCAGCTTTGTTTCTCTTTAACCCAGGTGTGCCTCTAAGGGGTCTGCTGGAGCTTTGTACTTTTCACTGCACAATCATGACTCATGTATGAACTGCTGCAACTTATTTCTTGGTGTTTTTTTACTTCATATTTCTAGAGGTGTCAACTGAAATATTATAGAAAGGGAAAGCCTTTAGTTTTTCAGTGCTGATCTTTACACCCTCTGCAGATAAGTAATCGCTCAAAAGTCTCAGATTTTATGGTAGGGATACCTGCTGGTCTATTCTGGAAGGTAACATTCTCAAAAGGTGAACCATTAGATACGCTTATTTCACAGTGTGGCATTAAACCTCCTAATGATGCAGTGTATTAAAATGGTAAGATTGAATGGAATTGAAAGAAGGAGCTGATCTTTAAGTACAGCAAGCTCATCTAAATATTTGTGTTTGTGTATATATATATATATATATGTGTGTGTGTTATGACTTTTAAGTCACATTAATTGATATAAAATACATATGTACATTTACCTTCTTCCAAAGTCATTCTCTGAAGTGGGGGTGTGGAGGAGTCAAACCATTTTATGAGCTGGATGTGGCCCATAGAATGTATTTCTAGTAGGCAGAATTCAGTCCTTGGTGTAAAAAGAAATGAGAGAGAGAGAGAGAGAGAAGGAGATATCTATACATCTGATCCTTTCTGTGGCTATATGAAGAACTTGTGCCATTGGGTAAGTGTAGCTGATGGCCTAATAACTTTGAGAGTCTATATAAGGCCCAAGAAGATTATTCAGCAGCAGGAACATTCTTACTCTTCCGTTTATGCAGCTGCTGGCACTGATGCCCTGCTGGAGGGCTCCCCACTGCCCACTTGCTTTTGCCATTCCTTTTGCCCTGGCTTTGCTGGAGACCAACAAGAAGCAAAAGGGCTTCAGGGTGAGGAAGTGAGGGAGGTGAAACTGCAGTGGAGTTACCTGTCTATTCTGTTTTGATTGCTGAGATGTGTCTTTTAAAAGACAGTGCAGTGTGCTCAGGCATTACCTTGTATCTTAAAATCGGGATTAGTTGAAAGAGATTTTATATAATTGATAGGTGGGGCCAGAAGTAGGAAAGGAAATAACACTGAAATGGAAGTGTTTTAAAAGCTAATGTAATTGGTTTTCATTCCATTCTGACTGGCATAAAAGTCATGTTGTTACACAAATCCTTGTGTGATTTTTTTTTTTTTTTTTTTTTCTTTTTTTCATACAAATTGTTGAGTTGAGCAGTAAAGTATTAACTTGGTGGATCTTACAGGTTGGGTATAGGGCTGTAGATTATTGGTTGTGGTTAATGGGGTGTTCGTTCTTGTCTTGTTAGCTAAACCACTGATTAAAGTGAATATTATGTGACTTTTATAAATAGCACTATTGCTATTTTGTATATGTAAGCCAGTGTCTGTACTGGTGGTTTTATAGTGCATGTTGCATCACTTATCCTTTCATAGTCCTTATGCAGAAGAGTATGAATTGTCAGGGTTTATTTTTATAGCTGTTCTTACTTCTCCCTGTCTGACACAGCCTTTAATTTTAAATTCTTCCCTGTGCATATAGTGCATAGTCCCCCATCATGGGAGTGAGAGAGGAGGGGCAGGATGATCCTGACAAAGGGCTACTAGATCTGGCATTTGTTACTGTGCCATTTACCTCAGTTACACGACTTTCAGTGGAATGTTTGACTACCTTCTAAGTCAGAAGCATGTTGAAAACATTGCCATTGAGATCATGGGTTCTTCACGTTGCTCAAATTCTAAACTCTGCCAAAGGGTATTTTTTGCTTCCATTTCTGTTGGCTGGTTAATTATTTTAGATGTGTAAACCAGGCTTGTTTAAGAAAGTAATACTGAAAACTCTTAAAGGAAATTGGTATTAAAATGACTCGTGTTTATAATAGCTTGGCACCTGGCTCTCTAAAAATGTCACCTTGTGCTATTGAAATTAGCACAAATGTTTCTTTGTATGCATTTGTTTTCAGAATAATTTTCCTCAACAGCATTCATAAGACTGTTCTCGATGGTGGCAGTAGTAGCAATTTCTTTTTTCACTCTGTCTCTCTGCCTCTCTCTGCATTGCTAAAGCAAATCATGGCTCCTGTTGGTGATGGGAAAGATGGCAATAAACATAGAGTGATGAACTGTTGCCTGATTATTTATGTGAAATCTCCATAATCAAATTATGTATTTCTACTGCAAAACAGTAGATTTGCAAAGCGTTGATTCTCGTACAGCCTGTGCTTTGGCACGTAGCAGCTGATCAATATTGAATCTTTCCTCCTCAGGAATAAGTTTCCATGCCTTCTAGGAAAACATGAAAGCATGAGCTTTACTTGAGTTTTGATGTTTGTAATAGCTCCTTTAAATTTTTCAAGACCTGGAACCTAAGAAGGCTCAACTTGTCAGTAGTTCACTACATGCTTACTGGACACATCTTGTGTAACAGATATCACCCAAGAAATAAATTAATTTAGTCTTTAAATTCGAATGACTGTAATTTTGAAGAACTCACAAATAAGCAGCAGTCTTAAGATAGCCCATGGTGTGGTTCATGCAAAGTGACCCACTAACTGTAGCAGCGAATGTTAGCTATTTTCATTATTGGGTGCACAATAAAAAGATGAGCAGGAGAGGAACTTAAAGAAAATCTGTCATACAGAAGCTCAGATTTTGAGTAATAATAAAGTTCTGGGGTTTAAATTAATCTGTATTCTTGATGTTCAGTCTCTTTCATTTTTATTTCCAAATAATGAGCTTGTGTTAAATTAACAACAGTGTTGATCTGACTGAAGAGACAAGTCATGAGGTTGACTGAGGAGAGATTTGCTTGTCCTTTAAAAGCTGTAGCTAAACATTGCCACCAACTTAACGATAGCGCTGTACTTCCCTATTTGCTGAAACAAACCAATCCTCATTATTTTTTCTTTAAATGCTTATGGTATCCTTATCTCTAAGTGTGTAAAGGCATAGCTGTGGAGAGGTAGTATGTGAGACCAGAGGGTGAAATGCTGCTCTGTTGGCCCTGGTGTGCTTGAGCAGCTCTCTGTAGCCAAACGAAGACGAGAGCAGCAGCAGGTCAGAGTCTGTATGGATGTAGTGCTGCCATAGGGCCTGACTCTGGCCCAGAGAGAAGAACTCAGGTGTGCCTTACATGTGGATCTGAACCAAGCTTTTACACATCATCAGTAATGAACTTGTTGCCTTGTCAGCGTGGAAGAATAACTTCTCTTATTACAGTATTTACATTGGGAAGTTATTCTGAAATACCATTGAGATACTTCTTAGAAAGCACTTTGCCATGACTCAGAAACCCATTCTTCTAAACCTGCTAGCATAATTCTTGCTCTCTAAAAAAGCTTTAAAAACAGTTTTCTCTAGAATTTTATATTCTTAAGGGAATTTATTTCTTTATCAACTCCTATGAACTTTTTCTACAATTTAGTAGCTTACTGCACAGATTTTGCAAAGCAAGTAGTTATTTAAAGTACAGAAGATAAACAAGATTACTTTTCTTTGCCAGCCCAAACAGTGACAGGTTCTGGCTTTGGCTAAGAAGTGAAAATAGTTGGCTAGCTGTATGTAAGTGTCCCCTAGTTACCAGTCTCATAGGGCTTTTTGTCTGCAAAATACATTCACACCCACAAAATTATGCAAAAATATTCAGAAATTGAAGCTGTTTTCAACACTGGAAGAAATGGGAGAAAATTCTCCATCTATTCTGATGGATGGGATCTTTGATTATCATCTCTGGACCCAATATGAGTGCAGACTTTCTGTGGATATCCATAGACTTCTCTCAAGTAAAGCTCATAATTTTGGTATTTTTTTTTTCCCCTGCCATGGTGTTCCAATATGTCAATACTGTCAATAAAGCAGTTTTTAAGGAGTTGTGTTTTACAATGCAGAGAGTGGAGGATGCTTTTTATACATTGGTGCGAGAGATTCGACAATACAGAGTGAAAAAAATCAGCAAAGAAGAAAAGACTCCAGGGTGCATGAAAATTAAAAAATGCCTTGTAATGTAACAGGGTAAGTTTTGTAATGTAATAGGGTAAGTTTTAAAGTCATTTGCTGAATAACACTGATCAACAGTATTTTGCAAATCAGATATTTTATGATTAACTGATTACATTATATAATATCATTTAGATTTTAGTCTGGCAGTCCTGAATAATATACCTAGCGAACACCTATAGATTTACTCTGTTTTTCCTGTTTCTTTTTTTGATAAATAGGTTAAAAGAAGATCTTTACTGCATATCAAGTTCTCCATCTGTAAAAATAGAGATTTTGTTTTGTGCCTCAGGAATTTGGGAGGAAAATATTTTAACACGGATTAATTGCAGATACTACAGAAGCTGTATGTTGAGTGCATCCTCAGGCTGATGAACTGAGGGGAGAGGATCATAGAACTTAAAATCTTTCTGAGATGTAGAAGGAGGTTTCTTGATTATTTTATTTATCTTTTTTTTGGAGCCTTTATACAGGGGAGGAAAAGGCAATGGTGAAGTACAACTGGAAAGAACAGTTGCAGGATTCTCACAAATAATCATTTTTTTAAATCAATACACTGCATTGCAAGCAAAAGGAAGGGGAGAGGGAAGAATTGGCAGTGTGTGAGAGGTGCTAGTCTAAATCATTGCCAGTGATGTTTGGGTAAACCATCGCAATAGCCCCTTGAGTTGGTTCTTTGCCTCTCACTGTGAGTGTGTGGTCTGTTACTCCTCTAATGGAGGATGATGTGGAGTTTCCTATTGCTTAAAAACCCATTGAAAAAGTTTTTTCACACTGTAAAACAGCTTGCAGAAAGTAAGAGGAATTTGACTTCTGTCTTTAAGAAGACTGTTGTAACTGAAGGAAGATTTCCTTTAATAAGGAGTGGGGGTAGAAGGGGAGAATCTTCTTTTATAAGCATGAGCACATCCAGTAAAAACTTATTATATTCTTAGCTTTTTAGTGATGAATGACTGCTTTGAGCTGCATCATTAGATGTTTTAAAAAAAAAGAAAAAAAAAAAGAAAAAAGATGCTTTGTGATACTATTTGTATCAAAGGCTTCCTTTTCATGAAACTGGAAACTCTAGTAATGACGCTACCCAAGTTTTGCATCCAAGTATCAATAAAATTAGTGCCAATAAAAAACTTTTTTTTTTTTTGTATTTATTTAAAAAAATAACTAAAAGCAGCTTGGCAAGACTGCTTTTGATGAGAGTAATATGAATTAAAATTGCTTAAGCATCCTTAAAGTAGCATTCTTAAGGCCAGCTTTTCCATTTCTTGCTCTTTGCTAGTATAGTCTCAATGTGAAATGTCTTTTATTTCCTTGGAAGGGCTTTTAAGTGTTACTACTAAGCCCCTGCCCTACACCTTGTTAATGGATTGACCTTGTTCTCTGAGCCCCTTTTCCTATGGGAAAGTTTATTTCTTTTTACTTATTTACAGAAACTTATTGGACTAATTCTGATAATGGGGAGTGATGGAAGCATTTATTTCTAAAACCCAAACTAAAATTTCCTTTGTATATTCGTACTTTAATGCTGTTTGATTTTCCTTTTTGTGGACTTTCCTGTGAGGAGTATAGGAGGAGTATAGGTTTTTTGTTTGTTTTTTTTTTTTTTGGAATGGAGGAATCTTTTCATTTCTTTTTTCTTTTCAATTCTCTTTTTTTTTTTTTTTTTTTTTTTTTTTTTTTTTTTTTTTCCTTTAACAGCTCAGAGAACATGTAGATAGGTCACTTTGAAAGCCATGCCTCCTATTTATTTCCATGGAAACTGCAACAGATACAAAGAGCACAATAACACTATTTGATAGAGCACATTCTCAGCTACAAAATGCTCTTTTTCAACATAGTCACCACTATTAGCAATGTTTTTTCACCAGAAATGAACAAGAGCTGCACGACTCATTCCTGAAAATGTGCACCAGCAAAGGTGCCACCGCTGTCATTGCTGCTGAAGAGCACCACCTCACTGTTTGGTCTCTGTAAACATTCAGAAAGTGTTGAGGAGTGTCAGTGGGTACCATTTTTCAACCTTCATATGCACTTTTGTGTCAGACACCATTCTGTCAGACTGCCTGCTCTGCTGCCATCTGTCCCACAACAACAAAATGTAATGGAATATTGGTAGGGAAATTCAACCTCTGCTGCCATATCAACAAACATACATCTGAAGTCATGGGCCAGCATCATAAAGTAGGAGGCATTACTTTCAGAGCAGCCCTTATACTTCCTTTCCATCTGCTTCCAACTTTTTCTGTCTACTTCAAAGAGAAATGAGTTTTTATTTTTTTTCCCCTCTGAGGAAGATCTTTTGTCAGCAATCAATATCTTTTTTTTCCTTTTTCTGTTACATACCTTATTTAAAAAACAGAAGGCTGTAGTGCTTTCAGTATCTGCTCAGCAGAGGAAACACTTGTCTTCATTTTCAAATGAATTCTACATAAATACCTTCAAGTTACTGATAGTCTTTGCAGCAACTTCGTATTTGGAGATTAAGCTAGGGATGATATACTCCAAAATTCTTGCACTACAGCTGTAGCACAGTAGTGATGATAGTGGCATGAGAAATCCAGCATTTAAAACACTCCGGCTTGTATTACTGCCCACTTAATAAGACTAAATGCATTCTATTTCAGCCTGCTGTATGTTAGATGAACTAAGGTGAGCAGCACCTAATGGTGTATTTGAGGCTTGCTCATTGTAACAAGTGTTGGAGTGATGCACAGTGTATGTCTTCCTTTCTTGCCTATGGGTTATCAAATTTGTTCAGGGTGTTTTTGTACCTCTTGGAATATCCAGTTTATGAAAGCTCATTAACTTACCAGTTCTTAATTAAAACTAATTTCATGATTTTTCAGTAGCACTGTGGAAGTGTATGCGTAATTTCTTTTTCTCATGACTCTGTGTGTGTATGAGATATACTTTCAAGGACTCTATTTGAGGCTGTAGTCCTTAGGAATCCAAATTCCTTGAGAATTTAGGGTGTGTAGGGTGACAGATTCAGGCTACTTGGCATGTCTGTAAACACATAACCAGACATCCAGACTTCTGTACAGCCACTAGATAACGCAATTGTAGTGCTCCAAAGAGAAGCTGTAGCCAGGATTGGACTGCTTTCTGAACATTCTGATTTTTCTGTTCCCTTCACTTAGTTGCCCTTTGGAAAAACAAATGCTATGAGCAAGCTGTCTTGTATGCAGCAAGTTGCTCTAAACCACTGTTTTCCAGAGCAGTGTGCTACAGCTCTGAGCATGCTCTCTGAATTCTGAGTTTCTAATCCTGAGCGTGGATTGAAAGCGCTGATTTGGTACATCTCATGCTTTCTGAAAAGTTTGTACACAGTGACTCCAGTGTTAGAGGGAGAAAGGTCTGCTGCGTGTGGTCCCTTGCTGCTGAAAGAGGTAACTGGGAAATTGACCACTCTTGATCTCGTTTGTAGTACTAACGCCTTCAGAGATCTTCTGTAATTGTGGAGTGTCCACTACTTGTATTCTAATTCTTGAATCTCCAGTTCTAACACACAAATACTCTAAATATTTTCTATGTTGTATTTACAGTTTATGCTTAAAATGAATTGTGACAGAACCAGAACTACCTAGTTAACAACTGTAAAGGCTTGCTCTGCAGAGGTATAAATGCAAGGACAAAAGCAAGTTATTCCCAAGTATTTTGCAACATGTGCTGTCTTTGAGATTACTACCTTAGGAGACGCAATGGAAGATTTCAGCCTTAACTGTGAAGTCACATGCAGAAAGGGCCACGGTATTACTTAAAACACAGATAAAATACCTTGTATAAAAACTAGTTTGAGGAGAGAAGGTTGCTCATTTGAAGACTAGAGTTACAGTTTCTGTTAAGCGCATCTTGCTTGAAGACACTGCTGAAAGCCATCAACTATCCTTGTAATGAATGTTGTAATGTGTAACACAGTAATGATGAGCCTGAAGTGCTGAAGGGTAGTTTTGTAACAAAATGTGAACAGTCACATAGAAGAATATCGTGCAAAGATCGTTCTTACATCATTCTTATGTTGTAAGAATGAAACTCTGTTGTTGACCGTTGTGACAAACTCTGTTGGTGAGGTGCTGGAACAGGCTGCCCAGGGAGGTGTTCAAGGCCAGGTTGGATGGGGCCCTGGGCAGCCTGGTCTAGTATTAAATGTGGAGGTTGGTGGCCCTGCATGTGGCAGGTGATTTGGAGCTTGATGATCCTTGAGGTCCCTTCCAACCTAAGCCCTTGTATGACTGGTTCTTAATACTTCCCTCCTGGTTGGCTGGGGATAAGAACTGCAAAAGATACACTGTGATCTGTTGCTATTTGTAGATCATTTCCCTGCATGAACTTTGCTAAATATTCACTTTGTGCATTAAGGCTGAAATCATAAGTAAAATATTCTCCCTCTATAAAATAATGCCAACCTTTTCTGATTCTCAAAAAACTTCACCTTTTACAGAGCTATGCATACTTCTTACGAGGTACACTACATCAATTTTATTTTAGCAAATAATATTTTCAAATATAGAGCAACTTAATTGCACATGTATTTCATATGTTGTAAGACCTTGTAAAACTCTATTACCAGTTTCAGAGGATAGGCAATGAAGGGCTTTGATCTAATATTGCTTATTTGTAAGTGTTAATATGCACAGGAGCAAACCAAGAGTGCTCATTTTTATTGGCAGCTTGAGGGCACGATAGCTGACAGGAGGTCTGCTGGCTGCAGGGCTGGATTTCTCAGCCCAGTTCTGTGCTGGTGCAGCTGGCTGCTGTGATACGATAACGTTATGCAGCTACTGCACATAAATAGGTCATTACAAAGTAAAGCCTGTAAAATTGCACTTGATTATGAGTCACATCAGGTTTATGGGTGTCTGGTCAAAAGTAATAAATTTTGTCAGTTACAGTTATCCCCCAAAAGTAGACAAACTATTCAGTGTGAAGAAACATTAGCTTTTGTGTCTGTAGCATAACTGTTGGAGCTCTGAAGGTTTTAAGTGGCTGTACATGATATATGATAGACTACAGACAGTTTGTTCCATGTGTCTTTGCATAAGTTGAATGGAAAGATTTATCAAATGTTAACTGATCATTGCAACATGATTGATTCAAATGATTTGTTTATGTAGAGTTTTTAAGAAACCTGTGGTGTGATAAAAGGAGCTGAGTACATGGATGAGTCATATCTATCTCTTTGGTTCTGAATTCCTGCTCTTGTGTTTGTATTTTAAAGCTATGTATAGATTTTTAAGCGTAAGCAAAGCTAACAAATGCTTCAGAGCTTTATTCTGAAATCCAGCAGTAGTACTATACACCCTTATAATCTAAATGTGGCTCATTCAGGTGGCTGATCCTCAGCCTGCAGCCAGGAGCATTTGCTCACACAGTGGCCACCTGCTCCCTAGAGCTGCTCTCCTGCAGAGCTGCACACAGGGATGCCATCAGATGTATGCATTCTCATGTAACTTCTCATGCAAACAGGAGACAGCTGCAGTCCCCCACCATCTCAGTTTTTCCCAACATGCCCATTCCCAAAGACGAGGGAATGCTCAAAAAGGTGTTGGTGTCCCAACAACTCCTACAACCCACAGCCTGCTCTTGGGGTGTTGTAAGGGCCTCAGCGAGGAGAGGATGCTGTCAGCTCTCCTGACACAGCTTCCTGCAGGGCAGGCTGCCGATTGAAAACACTTCACCTGGTCAGCTCAGGTGAAACGAGGCTGTACATGAGCAGGCAGCCGAGTCTGTTAAGGTGATCATAATGTGTGTATCTGTGTATCTTTTTAGGGTGTTGACGATGCCTTCTATACATTAGTTCGAGAAATCAGAAAACACAAAGAGAAGATGAGCAAAGACGGTAAAAAGAAGAAAAAGAAGACAAAGACAAAGTGTATAATTATGTAAATACAGTGTATCCTTATTCTTAAGACGTACTGAAGTAATTTTTGTACATTACACTAAATTATTAGCATTTGTTTTTAGCATTACTTTACTTTCTGCTTCATGATCCTGTTAGCTTTACCTGAATGCTTGTTTTAAATGACAGTGGAAACTTCATTCCTCTTAAAGTGCCAGTATTCTTTGAGTGTTGGTTCTTGAACTAGCAATGCCTGTGAAGAAAAATAAAAACAGAAAAAAAACCACACAAAAACCTGAGAACTGTCTTAGGACTCTTTGGTGCATGCACAGTTGCTAACTTACTACTTTTCTTACTGATTGTGAACTTCTGTTCTGTGTGTAAACAAAACAATGAAATGATGCTCTACATGTTCTAACATCCCCCTTAATTTTTACTATTTTTTATTTTTTAAATCTGGTTGGGAAAACAGACTAGTTAGCAAAAAAAGAATTTATTTTCAGATTTTCTTTTAGTTTAGACTGACTGCAATATAGAGAGACCAGAAGCCTTTATAGTCTTCCTGTAGATTTTGCTTCTAGGCATCTAGTCTTGTAGCATTTCAGATCAACTTTATTGAATGTAAAGATAAAACTTTCACAAAAAAATTTTTTCACTGCAATTTGTCTCAGTCACTCCTTAAATACTATATTTTTTCTATTAAAAAAAAAAAAAGAAAAATTAAAAAAAAGACACTAATGCACATCTGGCAATGGAAAAAGTAAAAGTTCTGATTAGATTGATTTCCTGTTGTTAATGTATTGCTTTAAAACTTTCACTGAACTTTTTCTGTCTGAAGACACCAAGGTGAAATCTTAGCTCTGCTGAGCTCCCAGTGGTAAATCTTCAGGTAGTTCAGTAGGAGGAGATTTCACCCTTAGTGTCTCCAGAAAATACTAGAAAGCCTTAATAGATAAGTTGATTCAATTTCTTAGGTTACTTCATACATGGATCCAGAATTTATCATAAGAATTAAGTCAGAATGAATCCTAAATTATATAGTAAATCAAAACCATTTGATTTTTTTTCCCCAAGGGTGGCATGAAATGTTTCCACATGCCCATTTTATGTAAAAATAGGAGCGGAATTTTAAATTCTAGTAACCTCAAATCAGTGAATGAATGAGCTTGAACTTAGCTGCTTCATGCAAATAATTTGGAAATCCACTATGCCATAAAAATGGTGTGGAATTTGCACTAATCTTCAGCATAGAACATGGTTTCCAGATTCAGTGTTGTTTATGTGATGTCTGTGAAGTGCTAGTTCTGTTGCACAGATTAAATGGTTGGTGAGTGGCATTCCAATGTCTAGACTGTCATGAAAATAGACCAAGGTTTTAATGTTGTCTTTCTCCGTGATTAAGTCTCTTGTGATTCTTTTTTTTTTTTTTTTTTTTTCCTTTCCGATCAGAATTAATGCAGAATTCAGGTTTCCTTTTTGGTACTGTAGTCTAACTATTCTGCACCCAAGTAAGAGCTAGTGTTTCCAGTGCTGCCAGTTCCTGTTTTCTTCCTGCAAAAGTTACAGCGCTAGGCTGTGTTAGTTGCCTCAGTGCCATAAGGCTCACTGGTACCCAGTCAGCTGCAGAACAGAATTGGAAGCGTGAGTTCGTGTACCAAAAGTAAAACAGAAGTCACTGAAGGATAGTGTAGGACAGTGCACTGGTAAGTTCTGAAAGCTTGGAAAAGGGAATAGCAGCATTGCCCAAACTTAACCTATAACTAAACCATTACGTGGAAAATTTACGCAGTATCACTTGAATCTACCAGTGTAACTTAGACCATTTATGTGATGTCAAAGGTGCGACTGCAGGCACACGTTTTGCTTCCTACAACAAAAATCAGCAGTGACTGTTAGGTGGAGAGCTGCAAAGCTGGCAGGGGAAGTGTGCTGTCTGCGTTGCTGCACGTTCTTTCATGCGCCTGAGAAGTTAACAAATGAGTGCCTTTCCCTGCCTGCACTGACTGCTCTCCCAGCCCCCCATCAGACCCCATCTTTTCAGCATCAGTGTGAGATATATTTTAGCTTATGAAAAAGAAAATTGAAAAATTATAACAGGAGAACATAACTTTACACATGTTAAGGGCCAACGAGGAATACTGATAAATTTTTAATGTCCTACAACATTTTACAGCTTCCAAGGCTAAAAACATTTTGGAGGCGGTTATTTGCACATTGTAGTTAGTATATGATTGGATATGAAGAAGATAGCAAAGCTGGATAGTATACCCTGAGCTAACAACAGTGATCTTAAGGTGACTTTTGGTAGGTAAGATTTTTGGTAACCGAGTCACACTGCATGTAAAACTCTGAAATTCTCATATTAATTAACTAAAAACTGTTAGGGGAAATAAATTTAGCAGAAATATCTTAATAATCAAGCGTGGATTATACAGCTCTGCTATCAAGATATATATAGATAAAATAAGTTTTTCAGTAAGTCTCATATGTAGCTACCAATCTAATCAAATGATTATAAAATTGCCCTATAATAGCCCTTATTGACTTAAAGGAAAAAAAAAAAAAAAGAAAAATACTCATCCTTGCCACTGTTGTGCAGTTTTGTCTTAATATTTGTAGAGATTTGGTGAAGCATGTTGGATTGCAGCTTGCACAAGTTGATCTCAGTTATTCTGTCTTTCCCTATTTGAAATGTTTTCAAAGGACATACCTGGATGCTTTCTTTTCTGGCAGTAACTGCTAACTGAACATGTGAATCACTTGCTGCGTTAATACATTACATTGCCATATGTCAGGGAGTAACACCTTCTTTCAGTAGCTTTATGTAACCCTGGTAAACATTATTACTGGTTTTCTCAGAACTGAACATTATTTTAACCAGTCTCATTGCCCTAACTTAGGAAAAAAAGAAGTTACATCGCATAGGATCTCTGCAATAGGTAAATACACACAATCTTCTACACTTCATTCTGTGAAGCAATACAATTATTACCTTCAAAGACCATCAAACTGTATACCAATCATTTTGTCTGAAGTTTACATAAAGCTACATAGATGGTAAACCTTTCCTAACATTTCTTTATTCCACTGTCTTGTGTTTTCATGTTGAAAATACTTCTGCTTTTTCCTCTTGAGTGCCAACTTCTTACTAGAATGACTTCTTAATGTAATATGTTTACCTGGAATGTATTTTAACTATTTTTGTATAGTGTAAACTGAAACATGCACATTTTGTACATCGTGCTTTATTTGATGTGGAACATATGCAGTGTGATCCAGTTTTTCCATCATTGGTTGCGTGACCTAGGAATGTTGGTAATACCAGATACTACATTTAAAAAAAAAAAAAGAAAAAAAAACACAAAAAACCTCTGTTTGTTTTAAAATTTTTAATGTTTTTAGGAGTATGTGCTGTGAGGTGATCTGGAATTTGTCTTTTTTTTTTTTTTTTTTTTTTTTAGTTAAAATTATACTGCTCCTATTTATTGTAATGTAATAAAAAATAGTTATTGTGAACTTCTGTCCCTCTTTGCTTTTCTCTCCAAGAATTTCAGTGTTTCATCTCTGCAGTGGAGTAGTCTGTGCCACTGTACTCAGCTCCAGTGACGCATCACCTTGAGTACTCTGTTCAGTTTTGGGTACCTCAGTACAGAAAGGACATTGAGGTGCTGAAGCACGTCCAAAGAAGGGCAACAAGGTTTGTGAGAATATGCCCCATGAGGAGAGACTGGAGGAACTGGGGCTGTTCAGTCTGGGGAAGAGGAGACTGAGGGAGACCTTACTGCTCTCTTCCAATACCTGAGAGGTGCTTACAGCGAGAGCGCGGTTGGTCTCTTCTCATTGGTGACAAGTGACAGGATGAGGGGAAATGGCTTCAAGTGCCAGGGTAAGTTTAGGTTGGATATCAGGAAAAACTTCTTTACAGAAAGGGTTGTGAAGCAGTGGAATAGGCTCCCCAGGGAGGTGTTTGAGTCACCATCCCTGGGTGTGTTTAAAAACCTCTTGGATGTGGTGCTCAGGGACATGATTTAGTGGAGGGTGGTTAGAGTTAGGGTCGTATGGTTAGGCTGTGGTTGGACGCGATGATCTTGAAGGTCTTTTCCAACCTGAGCGATTCTATGATTCTATGAAGTACACACGTGTTTGGCAGTTGTTTGCAGCTTATTTCTCCTCATTGCCTGCCATAAGCGGCACTGACACAGCACAGCGCGTGACAACGCTGAGCCCTCTGGTGGGCCGTGCTGGCTCTGCACTCTGAGCAGGGCCCGGCCTCGGGTGCATCTCGGTTGCAGGTGCGTGTAGACATCTCTTCCCTGAATCGAAGGGCCGTCGCTCCCAGCCAGGCACAGAGACCAGGTTTTCCTTACTCTAATAGCAGAAGGAATTTGTATCTGCCTGCAAGCCTGAAATGGTCAGAAGAGTCATTCTGTACTCATTCCCAGCTGTGCACAACACCTCTATCAAATGCCTTTTGTGAACTTAGGGAAAATAAAAGCATTTCCTTAGTACTGATTGTGTCCTAGGGAAAAAAAGAAACAAAACAACCTGTAGAATTGTTACTGTTCCCGCAAGTTGGCCCTTTGTATCTATAATCACATCTAGACAATCTTTCACCAGTTATTGGGCAGGGTTAGTTACATTTTTTATGTAAAGGTATTTCTGCAGAGTAGGTTTCACTGCAACATATTGTAGGGGAGTTAATCCAACTGATATGGAAGGGCTTTGTCAGATCAGTGCAGTATGAAACGAAACACACAGCTCAAGTCTCCTATTGGCCTTTTGCTTAAAAAAAACTTTTCTGCTTTTCTGGAACCTAGGCATCTTAACACTGTGGCTGTTGCCAACAGTTCTGCTGCAGTGATTATTTACCTATACTTCAAAGATCTTTTCTGTTCTATCATCTCCAGCGTCATTTAATTCTATGTGAGAAAAACCTAAAGCAGCAAATCAGCAGAGCATGTAGAGAGGAATAGTTAAGGTGAAAGTCTGCCTGTTGTGCCAAAGTTCACAAAGTTATCCATGGAGCAAACAGCCAGGGTCCATCTTCTCCTGCAGGGGAGAGGATCAAGTTCTAAACTCTTGCTAAGACAGTTACGCAGCATCAGAAATCAGTAGCTGCAGGAATTGTCTTTGGGGTCTGAGTACTCAAACCATTTATATTCCTGTCCATTCCCTTCCTGACCCACTGGTGTTCTTTGTATCACAGTAAGACGTCAGTATGTTGATGTATTGCACGCTATGCAGATATAGCCAAAATCTTAATATCCTTTTGAGAAGGTGCTCAATTGTGGTGAAAAATATTCATTAAATGTGGAAGACTTTCAAATTCAGATTCCTCTTCTAACTGACAAAAGATGTGCAGCATCTCAAATCAAGCACTGCAACACACAGCTGAACCAATATAGAAGCAGTGATCTGCTCAGCACGTATAGGGAAACATAACCTTATCACCACTTCTGCCTGCAGAATTATTCTCAGTTAGAGTTCAAGAAGGCCACAAGAAGTTGAGAAAAAAATTACCTGAGTAATACAGACCCCAAATCTTTCCAACACCTCCTTAAGGGTAAATGAAGTCCCAATTTGTATTCTAAATGAGGTGGAAGGATTTACTGTTCATTTCTTGTGAAGTTTCACTTCTTTTATTGGCTGTTTATGGCTTTGTATCGTTAGGGTCGCAGCAGTTATTCTTTGTCATCACTGTAGTAGCGCTTTTTCATAGCTCTGTATTTCCTGAGGAAGTACAAAGCCTCCAACTCTTTTATAACAAACTCTCCTCGTGCAATTAGCTGCTTAATTTTTTCAGGATCTTTCACATCTTTGTTTTTTAGAAAAGCTGCTTTCAACCGGCTTCTAAAGTAGTCTGCTCCTTTGGGATACTCCCTTCCAAGGTACAGCAGCTTGAATGGGAAAAGAATGATAGGCTTTTAGAAAGGCTTCAACATACAAGGATTTTGTTTAGCCAAGGGAAGTTCTTGTGGCACTTCAGACACTTACATTTTTATAAAGGTTCAGTACTTCACCTCTTAAAGAGCCGGCCATTGCACATGTCACTCAACTCTTAGTTCTTAAGCGTGGCAACGCTTAATTTACCTGCAGGATAACCAACGCGACGTTAGCCTGTTACGGAAGCCAGCACACCCCAGTCTCACTTCCCACACCGACTGCAGCTTCTCTCCAGCCTCGCCTCAGCGCAGCCCCCTTGCCCTAACCACCCCCACCCTCCTCAGCGCCCGTTTCCCCGCGCCCGCAGCTCTGCCCCGCGCCTCCCCGCCTGCCACACCGGCACGGCCGCCCTGCCCGCTTACATTTCCGTGGCCTGCTACAGAAACGCTTGCTGCCAAAGCGCTGTTAGTAACGACATATCAATAAAGAAGCGTTAGTCGTTAAGCGCGATGCTTTTTTATTTCTATAAATCGGAGCGAGCCCCAGCTCGCTGCCCGTCGGTGCGGCCAGTCCCTCCCCCTCAGGCCGCCCCCCGCCCCGCCAAAAGGAGAGAAGGGCGAAAGGAAGGTCGTCGCCTCACCCGCTCGGCACCCCGCCGTAAAGCGCGCTGCTTTACGACGCGGCCGTCACGCGACGCACCGTGTTCCGCGCCATAGGCGGCCAGAAGCTCGCGGGCCGTCGCCATGGCAACACGGCGGCGCCATGGTAAGGGCGGGCGGGGGTTGGATTAGCTCCGGAGTAGTCGCGTTATTTAGCGACGGGGTGGGCGGCTTTTGTGATGATTTTTGTGCTCTGTGCCCCGTTCTCTGACTCTTCCTTTCTTTTGTTTTTGTCCCCAAACTTCTAGGGTCCAAAAAAGCGAAAAAAGGTAGGTGGAAGCGTGCTGCGGTGATCGCCCCGCGCCCCGCGGTGCTCATTGCGATGCACCAGGGTAGTTCTGTCAGCACAGACACAGAGTCCTCATGCTGAAGCTGAAGAAAGCGTCTGTCACTTCTTGATTCAGCGCATCCAAAAACAGTATTGTAAGGACTTTTTTTTTTTTTTTTTTTTTTTTTTTTTTTGTCACAGTAAAGCTGTTGTGACGACGTTATTGTATGCAAATATGTTTAAAAACAAAAAGATTCAGGCTAACCCTGCTGGGCACATGTTGTGGGCACTGAACTCCCACCAGTGGTGTGAGCCTTCTGATAGCCTTGGTATCCCGTCACATTCATGCATTTATTTATCACTGTGCAAAGTGATGTGAATAGCTTTCCAAATAGTTATGCGTGTTACCTTTCCAGACTGAACCCTTGTAAGCACTTGTCTCTCACCTGTGGGGATGCACGGTCCTAATTTCAGTTCTCCAAAATGAAACACCCAGGGTAGCTGCCTGAAATGGTGATGCATCTTCCCCTCACGTTGTCGTGTCTGCTGAACTCATGTACACTCCCCATGCACACTCCCTATTTTCTCTGTTTTTAAACATCAAGCACACGTTCTTTGAATTTCTTTTCCTTGCTTGTCAGCAGCAGAATGCTGTTGTTCAGCCAGTGCAAACATACCCCACCTGATGTAAGTCATTCCTTTTCCTTCATGTCTTCTCTTTTGTCATCTGCAGCTTTGCTTTCAGCTATAGCTCAGTCTTCTGTCATTCCTTGTTATCTCCAGACCCTGGAGCCTGTACAGAGTATAATTTTTTGTTCCTCACCTATACAAAAAAAAAAAATAATAGCAATCCCAACCACACTCAGCCAACACTGTAGGCTGTGAATTCATTTTGCAGTACAAAACCAGCCGCCTTGTTTTCACAAGTTCCATAAACTTGATTTACTTCTCGGCCCATCCTTCCTTTTCATAGAATGACTTGGGTTGGAGAGGATCTTAAGGATCATCTTGTTCCGACATCTCTCGCTGTAGTAGTCTCTTACTGATTTGTGTGTGCTTTTCTTTGTGGTCACTGATTGCTGTTGTATTGGGGCCTTGTCTTTGCAGCACCTGCCTTCAGGATTGGCACTCCTCCCCAGTGGCATGTCACCCACTCATGTAGAATCAGGCTGCACATTGCCCATCCAGTGCTACTGCACCACTAAATGCTAAAAAATAATACTTGAAGTAGTAACACCTACTTTCTTACCAGATCTACTTGCTTTATTATTCAATTTCCAGATTAAAAATTATTGTTCTGTATTCAGGAAACCTAGCACAAAATTATATGAGGGCTGCTCTGAAAGTAATGCCTCCTATTTTATTATGTTGGCCCGTGATGTCAGGCAGATATTGGTTGTATGGCAAGAGAAGTTAAACCTTCCTGCCAATATTCCATTACATTTTGTTGCCATGTGACAGATGGCAGCAGAGGGACAGTCTGACAAAATGATGCCTGGCATGGAAGTGCATATGAAGCAAAGGGATGCCACTGAATTTATCCATGCAGAAAAAAATGGCATCCATTGACATTCATCAGCACTTGGTGAATGTTTATGGAGATCAGCAGTGGATATGAGCACAGAGAGGCACTGTGTGGTGCGTTTCAGCAGTGGCAACTATGATGTGAAATCCAAGCTACATTTGGGATGGCCGTACACAGGTGGCACACCACAAAACAATGAGCTTACATGCTCATCTGCACAAATTGACAGAGTGTACGACCAAGGAACTGTGTGCAGAGCTAAGTATCTGCTTCAATGTGTTGAAAATAATGGTGGCAGTGTTGGATCACAAAGTTCCTGCCGGGTGGGTCCCACAAATCCTCACACAGTAACAGAAGAAACATTGAATGCAAGTTTGTCAGGACCTTCTGAACTAATACAAGGCCAAAGATTACAGTTTCCTGGATCACATCATTATTGGTGATGATATGTGGTGTCACTGCTACAAGCCAGAATCAAAATTACAGTTAATGAAGTGGTGACGCGTGAATTGCCTGTTGAAGAAGAAGTTCAAGATGCAGCCCTCAGCAGGTAAAGTGATACATTGTCTTTTGGGATAGGAACGAGGTGATCCTTCTGAATTTCATGGAATGTGGACGAACCATTGACTCTGACTGCTACATCAATCACAACACTGACTAAGCTGAAGGCTTGAACTTCCAGAGCCAGGCCAGAGAAGAAGACAGCCTTTCTTTTGGAATGTGATAATGCCAGGCAGTTGGAAGGCTGTGGAGCACGTTGCCTATTTTGGCTGGAATGTCCTAACATACCCACCATATAGTCTGGATTCGGTTCCTTCCGACTTCATCTGTTCAGGCCAATGAAAGGTGGATTGTATGGGCGACATTTTCCTAGCAGCAACTCCGTCACAGCAGCTGTGAAACAGTGGGTCACCTCTGCTGGTGCAGATTTTTTACGAGCATAGCATGCAGGCTCTTGTTCATCGCTGGTGAAAATGCATAGCTAAAGGTGGTGACTGTGTTGAAGAGGTGTTTTGTAGCTGAAAATTTGCTCTATCAAACAATGTTACTGTGGTCTGTGTATCTGGTGTAGTTTCCATGGAATTGAATGGGAGGCAGTGCTTTCAGAGCAACCTACGTATAATAGCTGTAAGAGCATGCATCACACCATGAAAATAAGAACAAAAATGGATTTGGGTATATATTGCAATTCTGGAGGCTTCAATGACTGTGTAGGAAGTAAAAAATCTTTATTCAGGGTTCACATTAGATGGGCAGAGTTATAGAGGGTCAATACCTCCCCAAATGCATTTAAATAATTCTGACATTTGGTTTCTTTTAATTTATTGCAAACATTAAGTCCAGTGGAAAAAACAAAGTTGACAAAGCTGAAAAACTGAGATTACAGAAAGAAGAGGAGGAAAGGAGGCTGAAAGAGGAAGGTACCGTGCACTTCGTTTACAAGGAATGTGATGACACTGTCATTTATTTTAATTAAACAGAAAGAAGTTACCTGCCGAGCTGTAGTACACTGATGTTAACACTGTATTTCAAAAAATGCATTTCTCTTCTTTTGTGTGGGTCAAATTCTGTGTTACCTCTTACTGCCTCCCCATCTCACTTTCCTGCTAGAGCCATACTTTTTCCTCTAATTACTTCTGCCATGATTAGGAGCCTGGGGATGAGAGTGTCAGGAAGAATTAGATTTTTTTCCTCTCTCTTACCATTACATTTTGAAATATTCTCAGTGGGATGGAAATGCAGTGTTCTGTGTTTTTCTTCTCTCAATCCTCATTAGCAGAAGGTAAGAGAAATTCTCTGAAAAGGCCTTTTTCAGAGAAGGTTGACAGGGTACACCTATTGTCAAGAGCTAGCTGGGTGTCTGCTATCCCTTTGCTGTCCTTGTGGCAGTTAAAGCTGTGATCAAAGTTGCTGATCCTAAGGAGAATTGACAGCCATTGAGAAAGGCCTAAAAACTCATCTATTTCATTGAATAAACATCTGTAAGATGGAGTTTCCATCAAAGGATGTAGGAAAGCAGAAGAGTAGCTGGGAACTGAACCACTCAGGTGATTTCACAGCAGACATCGGATTAAAACTGTGGGCCTACTCAAGCTGTAGGGATGGGAAGAGGGAACATCTGTTGTTGTTTCTGAGGGGAAAAAGGCAGCCTGCTGATCCCTTTCTGCACTTTCTTTGTCATGGGCTGATTAGGGCAGTGCTATAGTAGTGGGTTTTAGTACTGTGATTCAAATGAGTTTATCTAATCCCATTTGGAAGATTCTGGGTAATATCAGATATGTTGCTTCATATTATACTTGTTTTATCATTACAGCTAATAAGAAAATAATGTGTCTCGTTCTAATAAGAAAATGTAATTGTGCTCTTGATGTATTTCCCAAACTTCAGAGGAAGCCCGACTGCAAGCTAAACAAGAAGAAGCAGCTAGACTTGAAAAGGAGAGGATTGAACGGGAGCATATGGAAAAGCTTCAGGCAAAAGTTAGTTCATGGGCAATAGTGACTGCAAAATGCTAATTCCATTTCTAAACTTATGACAAGGTCTGTAAAACATTAGCAATTTAATGTGAGAATGAAAAGGAATTTCCTTTTCATTAGTGTTGGAAAGGAAGGAAATTTTCTAGCATCACTAGATCAAAATCAGGAAAGCAAAAAGAAAAATTGGAAAGGTGCAAACGAAGCACTAGTGCTTAAATAAAGCACAGTACAAGTGCAATCAAGATAAATGGTGCTGTAGTGGTAGTGTGTTGTATTCCTTCTCTAAGGCAGTGTTTGGCTTAGTGTTGCTTGGTTCAGAAAAATTCCTTAAGGCAAGGTAGTTTTGTTACACAAAGGTACTGTGGTTAAAGATGTTAACTTTGGGGATATGTCATACTCCAGTTTGAATAAATAATTATTTTTATCAAAATTCCCCCCTAGCTTAAATTGGATAATTTTTTCATGTTCCCCAAAATTTTGCGTTGCATCTGTTTTGAGGTTTTTGTTGTTTTTTCTCTTCAGTAAAAGCCACTTTGCCTGTGCACCTTTGTCCTTCACACAGTGTTTTTTCCCTTACACCCAAAAAAAGAAAATTTAAATCATAGAAATTGTAAGGAAAAAAAAACCAAACACAAAACATCTTGCATTCT